GAGATAGTTTACCACCAAGGACACGGGGTAGCAGGATATGACTGTTGTCTTCAGAGGTGGCTGGCTGGCCAGTAAAGGTTATCCACGCAGAAGGGAGCTGTGGATAATATGTGGTAACAAGTCTTATATTCCAAGCAAAAAGGGAGGGAGTTGTATGAGAAGAATATTATCTCCTGTCAAGGAAAAAATAGAAAAAACAACCCTGCTCCAACTGCCTGCTACTCCTTAGTAGATATGTGACCCTTATATGAGGAAACAGAACCCTTGTATGCAACATCAGGGCTATAGCTGGAGAGGAGGATGAAAGAAGAGAACATTGAAAAAAGCACTTCTCCTGGGTTGACATTAGTGTGGCCATTTGAAAGTGTTCAGCTTGTGTCCCTACACTACTGCACAGCCACAGTGGTCAAAATGGCTTGGTGTTGGTGCAATAAAAGACTTAGAAATCAATGGAAGGGAATTGAGGACACAGAAGAAAATCAATCCACATAAAATCTGCCGATCTTTGACAAAGAGACAAAATACATTAAATGGGCAAGAGCTAAACCCTGCAATAAACGGTGATGGTAAAACTGGAAATCCATTTAGAGAGAAATGAAATAAGGCCCATATCTCTCAGCATATATAAAAGCAAACTCAATATGGGTTAAAGACTAAATGTAAAACCTAGAACTATAGAGATGGTCCATGAAGAAATAGGGACAAATTTAGGTGCTCTGACACATGGTATAAATACACTATCAAATATAACTAAAAATGCACAGATAGCAGAAGACAAAATAGATGACTGGGAGCTCCTAAAAATTAGACAATTGTATGCATCAAAAATTTCACCAAAATAGTAAAAAGATAGTCCACAGACTTGGGAATAAAATTTTGCAATGGCTTGTCAGACAAGAGACTAATTTTATATTTTATGAAAAACCACAACACAAGACAAAGACAAACCAATTTAAAAATGGGCAGAAGACATGGACAGACACTTCACAAAAAAAGACACTCAAGTGGACAACAAACATATGAAGAAATGGTAGTGTTCACTAGCCATTGGTGTTAAGTGCTGTCGAGTCATTTATGACCCATTGCAACCTCCTATAGGGTTTCCAAAGAGAAGCTGGTGAGCTTGAACCACTAACCTTGCAGTTCTAATGGCTTTGCAGTCTGGAGTATTAACCCACAACATCATACCAGGACTTCATTAGCCATGTTGTTGTTGTTAAGTGCCGTCGAGTCAATTCCAACTCATAGCGACCCTGTACAGGGTTTTCAAGGCTGTAAATCTTTACGGAAGCAGAAAGCCTCATCTTTCTCCTGCGGAACAGCTGATAGTTTCAAACTGCTGACCTTGCGGTTCGCAGCTCAATTTGTAACCACTATGCTACCAGAGCGCCTCTCTATTAGCCATTGTTGTTGCCAAGTGCCGTCGAGTCGATTCTGATCCATAGCTACCCTGTATAGGGTTTCCAAGGAGCACCTGGTGAGCTTGAACTGCCGATCTTGCTATTCAAACAGCTTTGCAGTCTGGTGCATTAACCCACAGTGCCAGACCAGGACTCCATTAGAGACATGTAAATTAAAATAATAATGAGCTATCATCTCACCTCAGATTTAATAGCCAAGTTAACAAACAGACAACAACAAAAAAAACAGAAGACAGCAAATCCTGGCAAGGGTGTGGAAAGACTAGGGCCCTCTGACATTGCTGGTGGGACCATAAAATGGTGCAACCATTGTGGAAAACAGTATAGCAATTCCTCAAAATGTTGGAAATAGTAATGCCTTATGGTCCAGAAATTCCTCTACTTGGTATATATCCCCAAGAAACAAGAACCATGACACGAGTGGATATGTGCACACTCATGTTTGTCACAGCATTATTCACAATAACAACAACAACAACAACAACAAATGGAGACAGCCTAAATGTCCAGCAACAGAAGAAAGGCTAAACAAACTTTGCTACAAACACACAATGAAATACTACAAAACACTGTAGAATAGCAATGATACTGCAAAATACCTCATAACATGGACGACATTATGCTAAGTGAAGTTAGCCAATTATTAAAGGACAAAGAGGAAGGTATACACAAAATCACTGTATAAAAAAAGATGGTAAATATTCAACCATTTCAAGAAGTAGCATACGATCAAGAACCAATAGTACTGCAAAACCCCTCCAAGACTGAAACTCAAAGGGAACACATGAGCAGGCATGTAAGCTTGCTGGCAACTGTGTTGGTCTACTTGTGGGTGGAAATGGGGGAAAGTCAGTAATGAAGGTATGGGCTGAGCTTGACAATATTCCATAGACTCCCATCAACCTTGAGATAAGAGAGAGAAGAGGAAGGGCTGGTTAGTTTGAAATGTAGGGAGACTTGAGAACTCCTGAGACAAGGACCTAGCCACGGAGGGCTAGAGCTGAGAGTGAAGTGTCCAGCTGATATGAAGTGAGGGAAGATGCACAAGAACACCCAAACTTTCAGATAGTACCCATTTGACCTAGCTTTGATGGCTTGATGATCAGAATCCAACTAGAAGAAGA